AGAGGAGAGGAGAGGAGAGGAGAGGAGAGGAGAGGAGAGGAGAGGAGAGGGGAGGGGAGGACAAGCGGAGAGCATCACATCACATCAACTGTCCCTCAGGTGGGCTCCAAGGGGGTCTGTACTGCACTTGGCTCACAAAGCGTGCAGGACACGACCCCAAGTAAAAGAAGTGATTTTAGAGAGCCACTGCTTGTTTGAGTCACATTACAAGTAGTGGAGAACAGCCAGGCACGCTCCAGGGAGCAACACCGAGCCACGCTGCTCCAGCGGGCTACCTGCATCTCATTTCAAAAGGAGAGCTCTGCCCTCCAATGAAAGGACATCCTCCTGCTCCTTAACATCCTATTTGGTTTGGAAAGCAGGTGGGGAAGGGGGTTAGTGATCTTTAGCCACAGTACAGGGAGTGCTGCTAACAACCCATTCCCCGCTCCCAGCCGTGCTGCTGCAGCTGGCAGGGCAGCGGCCGAGCCTCGCAGGAACATTTTTGTGCAGATGGAGGAATCGGTCTTGTTCTGAGCTGAGTCTTTTTTGGCAGAAGGTGGAGACTCGAGCCACCAGGTCCAGTTTGCTAGGGAGTGTTTGCAGGCAGTGAATAATCAACCCCCTCGGCGCAGAGGTACAGTGGAAGAAATAAGACACTCAGGAGGACCCGGCAGCGCTGAGACGTTGTCATCGTCGTCAGGAACGGGGGCTGGATGTTGGCTGAGCCAGCACAGCCATCTCCTCCGGGGAACGGGCACTGCCAGGTGAGGAAAGCAGTCCCGGGTGCTTGAGCAGACCTACCTCCTTTTCCTTCACCCATCCCTCACCAGACCACATTCAAAATCTTCCCTTCCACTCATGATTTCATGACTTTAAATGAGAAATCAGATCTTACTGGATCTGGCCAAGGCTCATTTGTGACTCTGCCATGTAGCAGAACGGAAAAAGAAAGTCCTCCCACAGCTCCTCTGGGACTTGAAATGCTCCATATAAACAACGCCCACTGCAAGGGAGGGGAGGGGAATCCTTAACAAGGAAAAACTTACCAAGGATCCCTCACAATGACCAGAGTCCCCAGTAAGGGCAGTTTTCACCCTGGAAAGGCATCCTGGCAGCACCGGTTACTGGTGCCCTTCACAGTGCTCCCCCTGCCCGTGCCAGCGCTGTGCTGGGAAGGGTGGGAGAGCACGGGCAAGAGCCAGCACCCGCCTTTCTGTCTGGCAACACCCGAGCACGCAGACACACACACACGCATACAGGTGAGAGCCTGTAGCATAGGAAGCCCCCGAGTTGCCAGCCCCTCCCGCTGGCAGAGCGCCCTGCGGGGCTGCTTCCCACCCCCCTGCCCCTCCGTGTGCGTGTGTTGGACCAGTCCAGCCCCCACCTGTTTGTGCTGGTGCATCTGCCTTGGCTCCAGCGCCGTGGGGGCCCGGTACAAATAGGGACAACACCAAAGCACACGCTGAGAAAAGCCATCTGTGTTTAAAACAGCTCTTTGCTGCGTGTTTCTGCAGGCTGCCCGGCTCGGTTCGATACCCAGCATCCAGATTCCCCCAGTCCCCTCCGCCAGCTCGCTTCTGTCTCCTCCCAGTCCCAGCCCGGGTTCCAGCCACACGGCGGGTCCCTGCGAGAGAAGCTGGGAAGGGAGCAGGCAGGGGCTGCCGTGCCTCGGGACAGGACCCCTGCGAGGCAGATGTCACCCCGCGCGGGCAGCAGCAGGCAGCTGCGGCGGACCAGGCAGAGATGAGTTGTTTATTGCTTCCTACATCGCCCACTGCCACGAGGTGAAGCCAAAGCGAGCAGCCACTGAGGGAACGAGCTGGGTTTTTCCTCAATGAGACCTGCGGGTCGGGCGTGAGGCACGTGGAGCAATGCCTACGGGGTGCTCTGCGGACCCCCCCCAGCCTCATCCCACCTCCCTTTGGCTTCAGGTGCCCTCGGCTGAAGTAGGTGAGTACGCACTGCTCGACACAATAGGCTCAGCTGGAGACTGCTCCTGCCTGGCTAACGGGAGAACTGGAATAATTACACCTATTTTTCAGTTGCAGAAACTGAGGCAAAGAAAAGAAAGTGACTTGCCCAAGGCCACACAGCAAGCTGCAGCTCAAGAGATAGGGACTAAGCCCATCACATACTTTCTGTTCCCTTGGTTGAGAAACTGCTCGGCAGCCCTCATGCAGATGGCCTTGTAACTAAGCAAACTGAGTGGGACTGAGATCTAGATTTGTTTTCCAGACTTGTCACAGATTACTCATGTGATCTTGAGAAAGTCACTTCATCTCTTTGTGGCCAAGTTCACAGTCTATGTATCCTACAGTCACATACCCAAGTCTGCATCTGTGCTTTTCTTCATATCCTTCTGAAGTTTTTTGGTCTGATCTTCCAATCTGAAAGATGGGAGAACAAGGCAAAGTCTGAATCTTGGAAAGAAACAAACCGAAGTGTATCATACGTGCAACAAATCATTTATGGGCTGAATATGCTGGCTTCTGTTGTGAGTTAAAAATATCCAGGCAAGGCTCTATGAAGTTCAGTGCTGCTCAACCTTTTCGGGTTGTTTTCAGATGGTTTTCAACCTTTTCAAGTTGGTGATCTCTTATTCAAAGTCACATATTTTCTTAAGTCCTCACGCTTACCACAAATGGCAAAGCCAAACGCTTCCAGATGATACGCGTGAGCTTATGTGACACAGTCGGTTATGGTAAAAGCAATATTGGTCGTCAGAGGTGCTGAGCTGTTCGGTGACCCCAGAGTTTTCGGGCAATTTTACACTCTTTACTTTAGAGCTGCCATAATCTGCAAACCTCAACCCCACTGCAAATACTTCTTAGGACACCTCTGAACACCCAGCCACCAGAGGAACTCAGAAGAATTAGAAATTACAGGGCAGTGAGGGATTTGCTGCGAAGAAAGGAACTGGGTAAAATTTCCTGGGAAGATGCAAGAAGAGGGCACAACAGAAAAGTATGCTGCTGTTCCTGTTTTACCAGTGTGGTTGATACTTACTGCTGAAGCTTTCCATATTCCCTTTCAAAGTCTCTCTCCACCTGTGGAAAGAGGAGATGGAAATCAGCTAAGAGGTACTGCAGCAGAGCCTGGCAGCTCCCTGCGCGCGGAAACCTGTCCCCAGGAAACGCCTGTGAGAACCCAGGGAAGGGTAAGCTGCAGCTACCAGGGGAGTTACGCTTCAAAAGTTAATGAAGTCTTGGCTTTTCTTCCTCCAGACTCTCTCAAAGCAAAAGACACTGCCACCAACTGCGTCAGCTCGTTCCAAGGATGTGCTCCAGCACACGAACTGGAATCTGACAGAGTCAATGGGAATTGCCTTAAAAGCAGAGCGATTGCAACTGAGCACACACACTGACACAGGCGCCCCCAGCTCAGCCCGGCACCGGCGGGGGACGAACCCGCTTTCTCTTCCAGAGGCACGATCATCCCAGAAGCTGAGAGGAGCCGCTTCTCCTCCAGCCGCTCTCTGCCAAGGACCCCCGCGGTGGCTCTGCCCAGGGCTGGCTGCCAGACCCCCGCCCAGCCGCGCTCTCCCGCCCCAGCCTCAACAGGATGATTTTTCTCCCCTGAACCCCTCAAGCCGTTGCTGAACCCTCCAATTTCCACATTATTTGCCCCCTCGATAGGCCCCTCAGTCCTGCACTAACTCCCTCCGACGAAACCCTGCCGCTGGAGCAGCGGTCCGAGCGGACTGCGGCACCGAAGGGAGGAGAAACCTGTGCTGGTGAAGAGCACAGAGCTCAAGAACAGCCTTCTCCCGATGCTACATCAATGACTGCTTCCTCCTACTTGCTATCTGGCAGCAAATCTCCAGTGATACAGGATATTTTAAGGAACTTTCCTTCCATGCTGACTGTTTTTAACACACACTTAAACATTCATTCCACACCTCGTCGACCAAATAAGCAAATGGATTTCAATTGACCAGCCAACAGTAAATACATGCGTTTTTGTTGTCATGGGATCAAAACTGGGTTCATTTGTGTTGTCAAGCTACCATGCTATTAAGGAAATGCTAAGTGTTGCAAGCAGCCAGGACTAGAAGGATCCAAAGGTTTGTTCCAAATCTTCATGCTGTCCTCGGGATTTCAAACCCAGGCTTGATGTAACAGCATTATGTGAAACCAGAACGTTTAATAGGGACAGTTGCTGTTCAATCAAAATTGCTATTAAAAGATCGGTATTTTAAGATGGAGCCCAGTAACTCTGGTTTTCCCAAAACCTCCTTCTCTAAATATCTTTTTGGTCTGCACTTTGAGCCGCACTTGAACTCCGCAGCGAGGCGACCAGCCCTGGCTGAAGGCGGGCGGTGCCCGGCGCAGCGAGCGTGCCGAGTTCCAGCCCCGTCCCCAGCGGGGACAGCTGTCCACACCATCAGCTCCCACCATCCGGGGGATGCGTGCTGGCTCTCTCCGCCGATGAAAAACCTCCACCGAGCTCCCAACTCTCTTTCGTGCTGCTAAAAATGGTCGCTGGAGAACAGGCATGGAGCAGTGTGGGGGCAGCTCACACGACTTCTGCCTGGTTCACAGTTCTGCAGAAATCCGCAGCAGCTGGTGCCTGGAGGTCAGGTAACCAGCACATAGTAAAAAATCACCCTCGATTTCTATGGCTGTTCCGGCTGCTAAAATAACCAGGGAGTATTGCACTCTATTTATATGCCTTATGTGTGAATTGTTTTGGTTGCAAACCAGAGAGGGTCGGGCACGACTTAAAAATATGTCCTTTGAAGGCTGGTGATATCCTTCCCCTGGCATGGAGCTCCAGCCCTCTCCACCTCCGGGAGGCTCTTCCTTGTGCCTGCTCAGCCAAGAAACCAGAGGGTTTGGCCATGAAATGAAACTACCTGCAAAGATTCGTGGTATCTGCCCCTTCCCTTTGGCTGTTAGAGTCCCCTCTGCAACGAGCAGGCAAAGGCAGCGTTGCCTGATGGATACGAAGGAAGGCAAGGCTTCCCCACCCTGCCACTCTCCGGGTGATGTGAACCCCCCAAATCTTCCAGAGCTTCCAAACTTCCCCCAAAACACCCAACTCCGTTTGCCTGAGCTCTTGCTACATCCCATTGAGGCGAATCTACAAGGCGGCACTTCAGCTGCCCGGCCTGACTCACATCTCCAGTGCCATCTATGCAGAGACAGCTGCCCAAGGATTGCTCTTATTTTTCACGCCCACAGTAGCAACTGGCTACCAGTCGTCGCAGGCTGGAGGCTGATGTAGCCCTCCCCGTCATCGCTGCTCTCGTGTGCGTCGCAGGAGCCCCGACACACCACAGATCTGCAGGGAGCAGGGCCCCCCGTGCACTAGAGAGAGAAAACTGGCTCTCACGTGCTCCCACCGTGCAGATTTACAGGTGGTAGCCGGCGGATCAGAGGAGCGCAAGGAGGACGAGCTGAGAGCAAGCCAAGTAGATTTTGCAGAGCACACAGTAATTCCCGCTCCCAGTAGCTATCATCAACGGCTACACATACCCAACACTTACAGCAAAAGGCTGTGGACAGGATTATCACGTTAAGAGTAAAGAGAACAAGAAGTACAGGCAAGAAAATTACAATATCCTGAAGGGAAGTTTCCGAAACATTAAAATAATCCCACTTCTCCGCAGCCTCTTTCTGAAAACTCAAAATCAAAACGTGTTTCGGTATTGAATGCTTTTTCTTCTAGGCATATGGGCTAGTTAATGCAAGATTGCTCGTCTCTGGGTTTTTATTTAAATCTACATAAAGAACGACGAGTTCTTAAAAGCATTGAAATAAAACTACATTCTTCTTTTGCACCCAGTTATTTTTGTTTGCAAACACTGGGCCTTCCACCTGTGATAACATCCCTCCTGCTCTAAGGGCAATATCATAATCGACACCACGGTTACAAGGCAACGAAGCAAGACCAAAGCCAGTACTACAAAGAGATGGAAATAAGGGGCTGTGATGAAACCTTCTTATTCCCCTGAGGTTAATTTCTTTCCCTGGAGGAGGAGGACTGGCTGATTTCTACATGTTCCAGTGGTCTCAGCCTCTTCGTGGGTCTTGGGAAAAAGAGGAAAGCATACGCTTCCTCCTCCCTCCTCTCCAAAGTAAAAGAAACCCTTATAATGAGGCCAGAAATTCTGCTCTAACCTGGAACTTCGGCTGAGCTTTTGCCATCCCATCAAGCAAGAGGAGATTCAAGGCAAGTAACGCAGGTGAGTATTTGCTCTGCGTCCCACAGCGGAGCCCTGAGCCGAAGGAACGCTGCAGAGGGCAGGTGGGTGTATCTGGGGCTTCACGGGCTTCAGCCAGCCCTGCAAATCCCCATCTAGCAAGAATACTTTTAAGAAAGACTGCTTAGGTGACACGCTGGAAGGGAAAAGGAACCACCTCCGAGCCGCAGAGATGGCTCCATCCTGCTGAAGATTGAAGGAAGAGAGTGAAAATGAGTAAAATTATTTAACTGGCGTCACTTGATTTCACACAACCATTTCTGCGACATTTACTCCATTATTTTGGGATTTCCAGCTCGCTGGTGGAGCCTGATGGAAAGGCGCTGAGGGGCGGCAGCTGCAGCGGAATCCTCCTGCTCATGGAGCTCCTCCGTCCGACATCCCTGGGGAAGGCAGGGCTGCTGGGATGAGTCAAGGAAGGGAGGCTTGGCAGGAGTGCAGGCCCACAGCTCAGGTCCCCGCTCCCTGCCAAGCTGACTCACCCAAGGTTAGCCAGCGAGGAGGAGGAAGGCGAGCCATCTGAGTCAGCCCAGGACAGAGCGCTGCTGAGGGAGGGAGGGAGGGAGAGAGGGAGGGAAGGAGGGAAGAGGGGGTAAAACCCGGGTGACGTGAAGGGGTTGTGCGCTGGGCTGCCCCATCCCAAGAGCTGGCTGGCTCCCCCGGCCCCGAGCCGGCTCCACGCCCCGCAGGGATGCACAGCCTGCCCTCCTTCCCAGCTACCTGCCGGCTCGGATAACCCCAGCCCCGGTGAAGAGCAGGGTACAACCTCGGGGTGACGCAGATGAACTTCAGCAAGCTGGAGCCACGAGAGAGCTCGGAAGACAAGCTCCGGTTCCAGCGTAACCTCTGCTCGGACCGAAGCTGTCCTGGGGGAGGGAAGAACATCTCTGCCGTAAGAGGCTTCATGGCTGCATCGGATTTGAGCAACAAACATTCTGCCGAGAGATATAATTCTAACAGGTTTAAGTCCTATCACTGGGCATTAGTTTAATTGGGCTGTGTTCCCGTGTCCTCTGCAGCTCCGCTGACAGCAGGTCCTCTCTGCGTATTAGATCCTCCCACCCAGCTCCTGGCCTCCCGGCCAGCCCAGTGACAGATGCTCTTTTCAGGGGAGAGGAGGGGAGAGATTATGCTGTCTGGAATTGGATTTGCCCAGGTTAAGGTGGAAACAAAGCAGAGGCACGTCTGGGGGGTGGGAGATCACTTCAGTTCACCAGCCGCTATTTTCTACGGGGGTTTCCTTCTACCTGAAGAGCTAAACTGTGGCTGACACCATGCCCTTCTTCAAAGGATCAGAAGCGAGTGGGCATAGGAAGCCATGACTAATTCCCTCTGCAGCCTAGGCAAATTGCTTTTCAGTACTACTGCCTGCCTAGGTTTGACACCAGCCCCAGCATCGTTTCATCAAGAAAAAAGGCTCCTTGGCAAGCCAGGCCTCTCTCAACAAAGCGATTCTCCCCTCTTCTGCACTCCAGTTACATGCCTCATGGAGAGCCAAATAAGTTAGATCCTAACAAACGCTGTGTTTTGTGTTTTTTTTTTCTCTCCCTCCCCTCCTCTTTTGCGGTCCAATCTCTGTGAGTGGGAGATCCTCTACCCGCAACCACTTCCCTTCTGATCGGCTTGGGATGCAGCCCTGGAGATGCCACACCTTCCCACTTCCTGCAGCGGGCTCCAGAGCCCAACATCTGGAATATCACAGACCTCGGCTGCTACCGCTGTTCCCAAAAGCCCGCACAGATGGAGCGTCTCAGCCTGCAACTGGGAGGTAAAGTTAGGGGCCTCGAGCTCGCTAAAGCTACAAAGCGGCCCCATCACTTCCACACCACGACACTGAGCGCCTCGCTCCCAGGGGAGATCGGTGGTTTCCTGCCGTTTGTTCTTCTTTGAAGAGCTGCACTTTACACTTACTGTGAGGTTGCAAGGCTTTGGGCTTCCTGTTTTCTGCTTTCCACGTATCTGCTGCCTGGAAAGTATCATCATCGTCAACACACAGCGAGTGGAAGCCATTTAAAAATCAGCATCTGACCCTGAGCTACCAGAGTCGCCGACACAAAAACTTGTTGTTCTTCTTGGGGGAGCTGAGGAAGAGGGGGAAGGAAGGCAGGAAGGAAAGGGAAAAGGCCTGGAAACACTCGTGCTGCTGAATGAACCTCTGCCTGACGGATATTCTGAGCTGTTCTATTTAATACACACACACACACATATATATATATATATATAAAAGCAATGCCTGCCAACTGCCTCAGAACAGCACATACCAGCAGCTCGGGGGAAGGCAAGCTCTCGAAGGTGCAACCGTTCATCTGCATGGAGCCCAAGCTCCTGCCACAGCTCGGGGACGGCTGATTTCAGCAGCAACAGAGCACGGCACAGGGGAGACGAGGTCTCTCAGACAAACCTCTCGCAACAGTAAACGCAGCAGGAGCAGAGGGAAGTCAGCAAGCGCTGACAAGAGAAAAAAATATAGTCAACTTGGATGTGAGAACGGGTGGGATGGAGACATCCAAGAAAGCCGGCCAAGACACCCGGAGCTGCAGAGCAGTTGGTTCTTGCATCAGCCTGGAAGGACACCCGTGTTGGAAACACCAGGGAAGAGGATGAGGGGCAAAATCTGGTGGAGTGAGGCAACGTGAGGGTCTCCTGAAAGCGAAGAGGAATGGCTGTGAAGAGCTGAGGCTGGGGGCCTGCCCTTCCTGGGGGAGTGCTGACAGCAGCACCTTCCGCCGGCGGGTCGCCAGCCCCTGGAGAAAGGGCAGCTGAAGAGATGCAAAAAACAGTGAGGCATTTTATCAGTCCTTGTCTTCATTGCCTGCCTGGCTTAAATTTTGTACTGACAGTTTGGAGCCGTTACAGAAAATTGCTGCTCTATGGCAGGAGACAACTACCAAATCCTTTAAAATAAAACATGACAATCAAGCCATAAAGGGAGTGGCAGAATTAGCCCTCTGCCTCCAGGGGAAAATGTCATGTCCCAAGGAGAAACTGCCCCGTAAACACAAGTGCCCACGCATCCTGAGGAATTAGCCATGATGAGTGTCCCAGAGAGGAAGGATCAGAGATGTTAGTCTGTTCAGGGGATTAGGTCACCAATGCCGTTATAACGACAAGGTCTCCACCGCGCTCGCTGTCAGGGCACTTATTTTAGAGCAGGTATGGAGGTTAGTTTTCAGGGACAGCTACTGTGAGGTCCCACAGCTTTTTTTTGCACGGGACAAAGGCAAAGACCATCTGCTTAAGAAGGGAAAATACCACAGCCAGCTGCAAGCAACAGCACTTGGGATAGGAGTCTCAAATACACGAGAATACAAAATGCTTTTTTAATTTGCTTTTAAAGCAAATGCTGTGCAGCACAAATTAATTCACGCCCGAGCACTAAGCATCTCAGCTTATAAGCCTTTCTTTGGAAACAGTTATATTCAGCGATCTGAACCACTCCTCCTCCTCCATCTGCTCAGAAAGGATGAACAAACAAGCCATTGCTGAAAGAAGGAAGGAAGGAAGGAAGCCCGTTCAGCCATCTCCGAGGAAAACTGTGCCAGACCAAAAGAGCTCTTCCCCTCACCACCCCCCTCCCAAAAAAAAAAAAAAAAAAAAAAAACAAACCAAAATACTCTCCCTGGTTGGGGCTCCCCCTCACTCCTCGCACGAGGAACCAAGCGCTGGTCACACGCGGCAACAGGTTCTGCTCGCTCACATCTCCCTCCCACGCGCGCGCACACGCACACGCTCGCAAAATGGGACGAGTCAAAGTGCCGGCTTGACTCATCAGCCACATGATCAAAGGCTGGATCTAAAAAGGGGGAACTGGTTTACTCACTGTCTTGGGTACAATCTGTTTCTTGGGCTGCCCGATCTTGAACGGTATCCTGGAAAAGAGAGAAGAGGGAATGTGTAAGCGAGCGATGCTGGTCTCAGCCCAGCCCCGCGGGTCTTGTCCTCGGTGATGGGTTTTGGGGTGAGCCCGGCTTGTCCCGGGACAGCTGAACCCCTTTCTGTGAAGCGTGTTCCCCCTCCGAGAGCTGGTGTCTCCCCCAAGGGCAGCATCTCCATCTCCAGCTGCAGAACGCCCCTTTCCCCACCCTCCCGCCGTCCTGGTAAGGCAAAGCAAAGCAATAGATGCTCCAGGCGTTCCGGCTGAAGAACATGCTATGTTTAAAAACAAACCTGAAGGGGAGGGAGGGAAAAAAAAAAACAAACAACCACCCAACCTGTAAATATTTAGAAAGAAGATATTAAAAAAAGTAACAACCCAAGTGTCTGGAGCTGTGAGCTGCTTCAAAGGATTTCTCTGATACAACAGCTGTAGGAGCAGCTCACCTGCCAGCAGAACAGCCTTCATTCTTAAAATCTTTAATATGGTTGCTAGTAAAATCTGGGTTACCTGAATGATTTTCCCCACGTGAGCTAGCTCAAAGGTGAACAGTACTCAAAATAAATTACACAACATATGTGAGGGTGGCTGGGTCAGATGGTTACAGCCAGGCAGCCGTCCTGAAAATAATTGGATTTCTTTCACCTATCAGTATAATAAAAACCCAGGAATTCAACTGCTGGTTTCAATCTATGTAATTAAGTAAAAGAGGTGCTGCTTGGGTAAGGCATCTCATCCAAAATCTCCCGGTTTCTGCACTGTACTGCTTTAAGTACATCTGCATCTGCCTGGGCTTGTGCAAAGCACCTGACACTGTCCCACACGACACCCTTGTCCCTAAACTGGGGAGAGGTGGGTCTGGCGGATGGGCCACTCGGTGGGTAAGGAACTGGCTGGGTGGTCGCACTCAGGGAGTTGTGGTCAGCGGCTCCGTGTCCGAGTGGAGAGCGGTGACAAGTGACATCCTCAGGGGTTGGGACCGGCGCGGTGTCACATCTCTGCTGGGGACATGGACAGTGGGATCGAGGCACCCTCAGCAGGTTCACTGACAACACCGAGCTGTGTGGGGCGGGGACACGCCGGAGGGAAGGATCCATCCAGAGGGACCCGGACAGGCTGGAGAGGGGGGACGTGCCAACCTCACGGAGCTCAACAAGGCCAAGGGCAAGGACCTGCACGTGGGTCAGGGCAATCCCCAGCACAAATCCAGGCTGGGCGAGGAGTGGGTTGAGAGCAGCCCTGGAGCCAGTCTGGAGGAGGCCACAAAGAGGCTCAGGGGGCTGGAGCACCCCCCTGTGAGGACAGGCTGAGAGAGTTGGGGGGTTCAGCTGGAGAAGAGAAGGCTCCGGGGAGACCTTAGAGCGGCCCCCCAGGGCTGAAAGGGGCTGCGGGAAAGGGGGGGACGACACACTCTTGATCAGGGGTGTAGGGGTAGGACGAGGGGTAATGGGTTTAAACTGACAGAGCAGAGATTTAGATCAGATCTAAGGCAGAAATTCTCCCCTGTGAGGGGGTGAGGCCCTGGCACAGGGTGCCCAGAGCAGCTGTGGCTGCCCCCTCCCCAGTAGGGTTCAAGGCCAGGTTGGACGGGGCTTTGGGCAACCTGGGCTGGTGGAAGGTGTCCCTGCCCGGGGCAGGGGGGTGGGAACTAGACGGTTTGTAAGGACCCTTCCAACCCAATTCAGTCAGTGATTCTATGAACTAAAAAGAAAAAAATTGGTCTGATAATGAAATACAAGTATCTTTTCCCAGAGACGCCTCACCTAGGGCATGCCTGCAGCTCAGTGGCATCAGCATCCCATCCCAAATCCACACCAGGCACCTCTTGGGAAGGTTCCCGAGTTCCCTCTTGGACCAGTCTAAATTCTCACAATGCTACACAAAGTTTAAGCTAATAATGTGCATTTTAGGCCTCTGGCTTGGCTCCGAGCTGGCTCTTCTCCCCACTGGGCAGCAAACGCGTGGCAGGTTCTCCGTTTGCTTCTCATCACCTTTACTTACAAGCTTCCCTGCACCAGTGCTGCTCTAACACTGCTCCATCGGGCAACTGGAACCCCAGAAAACATTTTTATTAGCGCAACACTAACCCAGCCACAAGCAACGCCATGAGACGGGAGAAAGTATTTGCGATGAAGCAACACGCCATCCATGCGGACGAAGCAAAACCAAGATTATCCATCAGCCTGATCCCTCCCGGCCTCCCTTTTGCCCATCTTTGCCGCTGTTTTCGAACCAACGGTGTAATTAGCCACCAGTAATAAACCGGGGCTGCAACCCGTACGTACCTCCTGAGCGGCTCAGGGAGCACAAGCCAACCTGAGTCACCGGGTTTAAATTTAAATTTTTCTGGAGAACTTCCTGTTTATGGTTCTCCGCTCGGTCCAATATAATTTTAGGTTGTTAACCCTTTCCAGCTCCTGTGGCAGGCCTGGCAGCCGTGAATCACACTTCTTTTATAAACAAACACTCGTCTGGTGTATAATTACCCTGTCAATAACTGGGTGTGTGGTGCCTTACAGGAAGAAAAAGAAAAAAAAATAAGGATTTTTTCTTTGTGTTTTCCTACATTGGTCAAATATAAACTAAAATGAGGCACCTCCCTTGCTCTTGCAGGCACAAGCTGTCCCATCTGCAGGCAGGTGCCGTCACTCGATGTTTTTGGAAGTGATGGCATCGACCTATCTCGGGGGAAGGAGGAGAAAAAGATGTGGGCTTTACCCAGAGGAGTGAGTTACCCCCAGAAAAATGAGCTTGCATGATGAGCCATGGTGGCTGCTGGGCCATCTCCAGGAGACAAGCACGGGGTTCAGGCCGGGGCTAGGCTGGTTCCTAGCGGGGAAGCACAATTAAAAAGGTGATTAACGCAATACCTGCACACAGCCTTCCCCTCTCCCTTGTTGGGCCAACCCTGCTGACGGGGGTTATTTAGAGAAGCAAACCCCACTGTCGCTGTCTGATGGCAAACTGGGTTAAATCAAGGCAATTTTGGTAATAAAAGAAGGATGTGGAGAACAGGCAGGGCAAAGCCATGGATCGCCCTCGGCCGGGGGCCACCAAGCTGGCAGCGCAGGCAGCAGCTGAGGGGGAGGCAGTGGGGAGCACAGGGGGTCCCATCCTGTCCCCCGTCTCCACTGCAGAGGGGAAGGAAAAAAAAAAATAAAATCCCAGGCACTTTCTTCTAGAACAAAAGAAAGTCACTAGAGCACTTCACAACACTGTAAATACAGTTTGAAGCAGTAAATATCTCTATTAGCATCGTGATGCCAGTTGGCTAATTATGTCTGTCTCGGTAAAACCTCTAAAAAATAACCCCGTGCAAGTAATGTCTATTCACCAATTATTTACTTTTTTTTTGGTTGCTGTTTTACAATTTGAGATAATCTTTCTGGCTTCTGAATCTTTGTCTTTTAATATAGTTCTGGGGCGGGGGGGGGGCGAAATATGTATAAGCAGGAACAAAAGCAGTAAGGAAGGAAAGATGAGAGGTACGGATCTTATCTGAGCAGATACATCCCGCACCTTGAAAGGTGACGCCGAGCTGCTGCTGGCACCGAGGAATTTTGTCCCTCCGTGAGCCGATGTCCCCGCTCACAAAACAGGGGGGGACAACGTGCGCCTGCCACAGCAACGTTCCAACCGTTTGCTTAAAAATTAAGAACCATCGGGTGGTTTGTTTTGTTTAGAAAATGTACCATGGGCATAAAGCAAAGGGGTTGGGGAGCGATGGGGCGGGATCCGAGTGCTGCGGATCGCCGGCGTGGCACGGTTATCACCGTTACCTGAAAAGCTGAGCACGGGGTCCGTACACACCGGAGGAAAACCAGAATCGGTGCATTTTTTTCTGCTCTCTCATTTCTGCTGAGCGAGAGAAAGCTGGGGTTGTGTTTGGGGTGTGAAATCCCTTGAAATCCTGTTCCTGAAGAGCGCGAGCGCGCTGAGTCACAGCCGGAGCGTTCCCACCCCGGTCCCCCCCCACACACACACCGTGGGGTTGGGGGGAGCACCCCGGCCCCTGACCTGCCACCCGC